TATGCTGAACCACTATTGAAACTGTTTCAAAACTGCCAAACCTTTTATGCCTGAAACATGGCTTTGCCTTATCTTAAAACACAAGTGCACGCATGTGTGCGCAAACACATTCTGCATGACAAAAAGCCTACAGAGTGGAAAAGTTACAAAAAATCTTTAAGAATATCAGAAAAGACGGGCCTCAGATCCTGCTGCAGGGGGCATTACTCACACTTTTTATTTCATTAGTTTGTTCTTAGAAATGACCTTAAAAACAGCAACATGTTTTGAAGCTCTATGCTAAAGCACATGTTAATGGACTTTCTACATTTAAGATGACTCTGCTTTTAAGCATTTTCAGACTTTTGGAAGTGTTTTTCAGCAGTTGCCACTTTCCAGCTAGAAAATCCATTCTGCTTTATTTAAATAGTCATAGGTGTGATGACTGGTAATAAAGTTATTTATAATTACAATTACAGCTAAAGGTTACCTACTTCTACCAAAACTTTTAGCTGTTTCAATCCATATTCCCATGTGAAAAAGGACACTTGCATGATCACATCTGAGAACCACATTTTAATCATTTCACAAATGTTCACCATGTGTAATTCAAATATATGTGTTAAGTGCAAAATATTTTTAGATGATGGTGTCGAAAATACAGTGAGTGAGAGATGCCAGAAAAAAAAAGTGTAACTATGAAAATTCAAATTTCCAATGTATTTTAATCTGCTTTGGGTTTCTTTTCAGAGATATTGGTTAAGGCTTTATTGAAAGCAAACAGAAGCATTGCTATCCATGCTATCTGATACATTTTTGCCACAACTCACAGGTATTGACATTTGAAATATGGCAGAGAAACGGAATTTTAAATTTTACCCAATGTTAACTAATTTACAGTTAAATGACATCATGAAAGGTAGTGGCTGCTATATGGGACAAAAAGTCTATGGTCTACAAGCCATTAAAATATATTGTTAGTTTATATCAACCTTTTGACAAGTAATTAAGTATATTAATTTGTTGTTTCTGTATTTTGCATTATTAATGAATCAATAAATATAAAACACAAAGGAAACAATATTTTTGTTTCATACATATTTGTTTATATATAGTAATATACATGGGCATAGTTTGTTTATATGTAGTGATAAATATGTGTATGTATATATGTACATATATGTAGATATATCTGTTCTCTCAAACCTTAAAACAATATAATTAAAATTCATTGCTGCTGGATAAAAAGAGAATCTTAAGCCACCAAATGATCACATATAACAGGTCAGTTCTGTTTCCTCAGAGATGGGCCTCAATTAAATGTTTGGTTTGGGAATCTACACAAAATGAAATTATTTAATATTTACAAATGTATCAACATACATTACCTATCAGCTTGAAGCTTTAGAAATAAACCATTCTCTTTTCTGGCTAAAGTCCTTGAAAAGAGCCTCAATTCATTTTCTTATGCATTAAGTATACTGTATGTCCTTCAAATACCCTACCTTTGTGGTCTTTGCAATGTCTTAAAATATTCTCAAGATCTATTTTATTGAGTAGTCCTATTTAATGCACAGTTATAGCTGTTACTGGTTGATATATGGCCTCATATAACATTAAAAAAATGGTAGCTGTCACACAATATTATCCCTCCCCCCATCTTTCGAAGAAGACTTACTTTCATGGGTTTTTACTGCCTACGCCCCTGTCTTGGTTATTTTCCCCTACTTCAATTGATTTTAGATGTTTTTGGTGTTTCTTCTTCTGTAATGTATTATCTACTTTATCCCAATATGTAGGTGTCATGTTTGTAAGTGAATCAGTAATGGAATAGTTGGGACCACAAGTCTCATCATCCTCTACATGCTATTAGTATTAGACTCCCCAGGGCCAGCTGGGCAGTGAACCATGGTAATGAGGTTGATAGTTCATGAAGGAGCTGATGTGACAAATTGCCAACCTGCTGTAGGGACAGCCTTCCTCACCCTCCAGAAGGCCAATGTTATTCTAATTTCCATCCAGTTTTACTCTATTTCTAAATGTGCTAGTGCTAACACAGTGTCTGAATGCTACATTGCCCGCTCCTACCCCAACCCCTTTGGGAAAGAGAGCACCTGCTGGCACGTACATTTATAATCCCCTTTTCAAATTGCCGTGCTCTCAGCGTGAATGTAATCAGCATTTGTAATACATTGTAAAGTACAAATGGATGTTTTCTTTTTTCATGCTTTATTTTGGAGGCATTTGTGAAAACAAATACCTTCATTTATTTATGCTCTGGATCCAGGATAACTTTTTAGATCTGTTAATTTCTGGCTTGCCAGTCACATTCACTGAAGCTTGCTATATTCTCTCATAAGGAAATACCTTACCTTGAAGGCATCTTTTTATTCCTTTTCTCTGCTTGAATCTGTAATCTGGCAAAGAAGGCAAAACTCTCAACTTACTTACTGAAATATAATACTGCTCAAATACCATTAAACCAGGTGAATTTCTTTGTAGATTAAAATAAATAAATTATTTTTTTCTCTTTATCTTAAAGGTATTTTTTTTTTTTACAAGATGTTATTGTTGACAAGTAGACAAAAAGGACTCATCTCTAACATTTAGGGAGAATTTAGCCCTAAATGTACGGTGATGCTACCTTTTATTAGAAGTTTATAAGCATTTGAAAGGAAGTTTACAGTGAAGAGAATGGTTCCAAACCGCTGCTAACACATCTTGCACAGAGAGCTGGACATCTCGGGCTCTCTAGGTGAGAGTGAGACTGATGAGTTATTAGAGGCAGAGGTGCCAAAACAATTCTGTTACCTGAGATGCTCCTAAAATCCCCCCTCCCAGGCTTAATAGAAAATGGCTAAATTTTATAAATTGGGACTTTCCTACTTTAGCCCCTAGTTTCCAGGTTCTGTGAGTCATACAGAATAGAACTTTGTGTCCCAAACTTAAGGGTCCAATTTTCTAGTCACCACATAAATCAGGCACCTTAGGCCCATACATTTTGAACCTATGTTATTTTCTCTTGCATAAACTATGTAAAACTCTGCCATTGTTTTACTGCCATTCCTCAGGCACATGTTTTGTCTTATGTAAACTCCTTGAGGCTAAGGTAAATGTGATGCCTTTGTCAGACCCTGGCTGTAAAATTTTCAGTCAATGTTGGTTCATACAACCTGTATGTCATCAGTTGCTCTTATTCATCACTCTGGGAATTTCATCATCTTGCCTTTTATTATGAGGAGGAATCACTTTTTACTTTATGCTGCTCAGAGGTTACAAATCAGCAGTCCCATAACTAGATTTAACCACTAGACTTATTTTAATTGGCCAATAAAGTGTTGTTAAAACGTTAAAGCTTGAAAGCTTTTAGGTAGGGCATTTCCAGTTCTACTCAGCCACTTCTGCTTTTTACTTTCTCATACTTAAATAACCTACTATTCAGCCAGAGAATATCAGTGAGTTGGAGACCTTCATCATATTTACTTTATTGTTCCATGGGGCACCTTCATTCATTGAACACTTATGTATTGAGTGCCAATAGAAACCAGCCACTGTTCCAGAAAAAGGTAAACAAACAGATGTAAATCCCACTCTGCATGGAGTATATGTTCTGGAGATCTGCATTTTGGGATCTGATAATTACTACAAAAACATTTGGAAATAAATGAATGAGTAGGTATGTTAGTTCAAGTCCTTTGAGAAGCAGATACTAAAATGAGATTAAATATGCAAGAATTTTATTAAGAAAACTAGAGGCCCGATGCATGAAAATTCCCTCAGCCCCACCTGCCCCCTCTCACAGTCCAGGAGCCCTCAGGGGCAGGAGGAAATCTGGCAATCAGGGGAAGGCAATGCCTCCATCACACTTCTGTTGCTGCCATTGTTGGCAGCACAAGCCTCAGCCAGCCCTAGTTACCTGAGCCTCAGGCAGCCCTAGGTGGCTGGGCAGCCACCATCTGAGGCTTGCCTATACCTCGGGCCAGTCGTGGGCGGCTGGGGGACTAAGAAGACTGAGGGACTCCCAAGGCAGGCATGCAAAGCAGCCAGGCCTGCCTGGGGCTGAAGGGACTTGGCATTGACATCTCGTGGCTATGGGCACTGCCATCTTTGAGGGCAGGGCAGTCAATTAGCATATTCCCTCCTTATTAGATAGGATGCTATTTGATAGGAAATAGGGCCTGTTCAAATTATGACTTAGTTATATGATTAAACTCAATTCAAAGTGGGTGGTTCTACATGTATAATAACTTGCTCATGGTAAAGAGTTCCATCTCTACCAGGGTGGAGCAACAGAACTTTTTTCTCAAGGAAGTTCATTATCTCTTTCTCTATCTGATGGCATGGCCTTGCTTCTAATACCCAGGGAACTGCATCATAGTTTTCTCACTGTATTTTTCCATAAACACCATTCTGCATCTCATCCTCCTCCATATACCTCCAACACCATAAAATCAACTACATTAAGGATAAGGTCCAGAAGCAGGGCTTATTGTACTGGATCTACTATACTACCCTTTCCTGTTCTAGGTTTTAACATAAAAACAGGCAAATCTGTAAAGAATTTTTGTGAGCTTATTTCAGCCAAACTATCAACATATGCCAGGAAGCAAAACCTCAATGATTTGAGATAATGCTCCCGAGAATGGTGGGTTACATTTATATTTATACATTGCAGTCAAAGGAAGGGGACATAGATAGGTTACATGAAATCCACTGGGGATAGATTAGAGAGGTGGGAGAAAGCAAAGCAGGTAAACACCTGGGACTGGATAAAAGGTAAAATGTTAGACACATACTTAGGTGGGTGCAGGAACCCTTACCATGATAACAATGAAGAAATTTGTGTTCTCTGTCCTGGCATCCAGGCACTTTAGGCTGTGCCCTAAGGGGTCCAGAAAAAGGGAAGTTACAAGTTACCCAGACATTTCAAGGCTATGTTATTATAGATGCAAAAAGACAGATAGGCTCAACTAAGGTAAAGGTTGACCTCCTCAGTGAAGACACTTGACTAGGATATAACTACCCACCATAACTGTTTTTAGTTAAAGTTTAATTTTAGACCATCCTTTGTAATTACTTTAGGTCTCTGAGTTTGCAAGACTGCCATGCATGCCTTCCCTGAGCTGACAGGTCAGCATGTAGCCCCTTTTGTCCACACTGGTCAGACTCAAAGTTACCAGGTTTATCTGTGGGGAAAATGTTGCCTCAAAAGTCCAAAGTGGCCTGCTGCACAGGCTGCTTTCTTTGTGGTGGTGATGCAAGATGCAGTCATTTTTTTATCTTGGAGGGGATATTCCAGGTTTCCCCTGACCACTGGACCACTAAATATGTCCTATAAGTCAAGCCCTTTTGGCTTCTCCTCCTATTTTCCCACCCTTACATATAAAAACCCAGTGTTTCTAACAACTGACTAAAAGCTCAACCAAACACTGGAAGTCAGTCCTGTAGTCAGTGCTGGGTTGCCATGGCTATCCAGCACTAACTGCGGCAGGTGCAGCAAACCAGCATTGACTGCTGAGGGGTCTGAAGATCAGACCCAGAGAGAGGCCTGAAGAGAGAGGCAGGGTCTGATCTGCAACCTCCATGGCAGCTAATGATCAGATGCCTCTCTCTTTCTTGCCTTTATCTTTCTCTCCAGGCTTCGCCAGCAGCCTTGTCTCTATTTCTCTCCAGGCCTCTGTAGGGGCTGCTGATCAGCCCTGCCTCTCTGATCAAGCCCAGAGATAGCCCCAGAGAGGTTGACTGGCATAGAAATCAACCAATCAGAACCAAATCTGAGTAAATTGTGAGGATCCAATGGCTGCCTAGGAAGTGGAACTTTTGATACTGGCTGGTATAGGAACTAATGTTGGTGCCCCTGTCTTTACCACATTCCTGATGGACCCTCTCAGGGAGCATACTTCTTTTTTGGATCTTCTAACCTCATTAATATATCTGGCTGGACCTCATAAATAAGCATCCATTACTGGTTACTTTCCTTAGCCTTTATATTCCTTCCTTTATGCTCTGCTGTGAAAGCTCAGGCATTTCTATTTCACTGAGAGTTGGCCATGGTTTATTTCAGGTTTCTAAGAGCCATCCAGGGTGAATTTAATCCATGTTCTGGTGTCCTTGCTAGAATGTTAAATCTTGTCAGAGAAAGTATCAATGAATTTTTGCTTTCCAGCCTAACATTTCAGTCACTAATCAAGCCCTCTCAACATCCAATCTCAGAGTACTTTCCTGGCTCCTATTGGTATGTGCCAACTAGTAATTATAGACTGTTAGATGGATACCCTCTCTGCCAGCATGTCACCAGTTGGATTCCGTTGAGATTTATTCCTGATTACCAACATGGATGCTGAGAAGAAAGGTGGTAAGTTGCTGATGGGAGCACTTGCTGCTTTGCAGGGGAGTGGTTTCTTCAGCACTATCCATGTTAGCTAATTTTAGAGAAAGGTGGGCCATCTCTGCAGGCCTTGAAGTCCAGAGAGACTAGAGAGTCAACATCCTCAGGTGCATCTTCCACATGTCTTTATTTATGATTATAGGATTCTGAGTTTTTCCTATGTGAAATATTAATTGACCATCAAGTCGTGGGTTTATTTCTGGGCTTCTACTTTGTTCTTCATATCTATATGTCTGTTTTTATGTTAGTACCAGGCTGTTTTGATTACTATGACTTGTAGTATAGTTTCATATCAGGGAGTTTAATTGATCTAACTTTGTTCTTTCTTAGATTGCTTTGACAATTCAGGGTCTTTGTGGCTGTATTTAAATTTTGGAAAATTTGTTCTAATTCTGTGAAATATGCCACCAGTGTCTTGATAAGAATTGTGTGAAACTTTAAATTGCTTTAGGTATTATGGAAATGTTAATGATGCTAATTCTTCCTATCCGTGAATATATTCACATTTATTTATTCATATCTTCTTAAATTTCTTTTTTCAGTGTCTTATACTTTTCTGAGTATAGATCTTTTACATCCATAATTAAATATATTTCTACATAGGTTTTATTGGTTTCTTTAATCAATTGTGAATGGGCTTGTTTTCTTTTTAAAAAATATATTTTATTGATTTTTTTTTTTACAGAGAGAAAGGGAGAGGGACAGAGAGTTAGAAACATCGATGAGAGAGAAACATAAATAAACTGCCTCCTGCACACCTACAACTGGGGATGTGGTCACAACCAAGGTACATGCCCTTGACCAGAATCCAACCTGAGACCTTTCAGTCCACAGGCCTACACTCTCCACTGGGCCCAACTGGTTAGGGTGGGTTTGTTTTCTTAGTTTTCATTTCTGATAGTTCATTATTAGCATATAAAAATGCAAGTGACTGTGATATCTATTTTGTATCCTGCTACTTTATAAATTCATTTATCCATTCTAGTAATTTTTTTGGTGGAATCTTTAGGGTTCTTTATATTTAGTATAATGTCATCTGCAAATAAAAACAGTTTTACTTCTTCCTTTTCAATGTAGATGTCTTTCATTTCTTTTTGTCTGATAGTTGTGGCTAAGACTTCCCACATTATGTTGAAAAAGAGTAGTGAAAGTGGACATCCCTGTCTTGTCTTTTATCTTAATGGAAACTCATGTAGGTTTTGCCTATTGAATATTATGCTGGCTCTGAGTTTTTCATATATGGCCTTTATTACATTCATATATGTTCCCTCTATTCCCACTTTGCTGAGGGTTTTTATTATAAATGGATGCTGAATTTTATTAAATGTTTTTTCTGTATCTAAGGTATGATAATGTGGTTTTTATCCTTCATTTTGATAATGTGGTGTATCACAATTCTTGATTTGCAGATATTATAACAACTTTGCATCCTCAGAATAAACCCTACTTGATCATGGCATATGATCTTTTTAAAGTATTGCCGAATCTGGTTTGCTAATATTTTATTGAAGATTTTAGCATCTATGTTCATCTATGCTCCAACCATGATTGGTCTATAATTTTTTTTTTTTTTTTTCTACATTTCTTTATCTGGTTATGGAATTAGGATAATGCAGGACTCATAAAATGAGCTTGGGAGTCTTCCCTCCTCTTGAAATTTTTAAAATAGTTTGGGAAGAATAGGTGTTAGTTATTTGAATGTTTGGTGAAATTCACCTGTGAAGCCATTTGGTCCAGGACTTTTGTTTGTTGGAGGTTTTTTTTCTTTGTTGTTGTTTTTTTTTGTTTTGTTTTGTTTTTAATCACCGCTTCAATTTCACTAGCTATAATCTCTCTATTCAGATTCTCTGATTCTTCCTGGTCTATACAGATGGTTTTCAAAGTTGCCTACTAAGTGCTATCTAAGAAGATTTTAAGTGCTAGGTCATCTATAATTTTCTTTTCTTTTTTTTACTGAAAAACTCAGACTTGGTTTACTGGCTATTGCAGGTTAGTACTAACTTCTGTGTCCTAGAAATATCACTTTAGGCATTGGTGATTTGGAATTATTTCAATGATAAAACTTTAGCAGACTGGTGTAAATGAGCTAGTTATGCTGGGCCTTAGCAAATTATGAGAGGTCTCAGGACATCAATAAGATAAATTTGGCTATAGCAAGCCTCACTAGACTTACAAAGGCAGACCAGGCAGAATCAGCAACAGCTCAAACTTTAGATGGTACCTTCTTTAAAGAGTAGGCTTTGGTAACTTTTCCTCAACCTATATTTTTGACCAACTTTTGCTAAGCAGGTATGAGGTAAAGATTTAATAGTCTTTTCTTATATAGATTTCTTAGAAATTAGGAGTCAAAACAGAAATTTTCTATTTTTTTCTGAGTTTTCAACCTGATATTCAAGATTATCTTCAGTTTAGCAACTAAGATACATTTGCTCACAAAGACAAATTTTGAATATATATATAGTCTGCTCCAACCGTGATTTTTAAATATATTTTAAATTATGTTCAGTGCAAAAGGAAGAATCTGAAAAAGGGCTAAATTCTTCAACTCAGGTGACTTTTTATAAGCTTTAAAGGTGTTTGCTAAATGTTACTAAGTTGGCTCCAGATGATTAGTATATTAGATAAGCTCTGACTACTAATTTGAGTTGAATCACTCATTACAAGAGTATATTTTATAAATCAACCGAAAATAAAAGAAAACCACATTATAAATAGAATATGCCATCATCTATTTTTTGGAGTAAAAACCAACTAATATAAATTATTGCAGATACAAATATCAAAAAGGCAATTCAAAAACCTGTTGTTGCAATACTGTCTGAGAAATCAAGGTTGCACATGAAATTAAAAAAAAAAGTAGAAGTATTTAAAGATGTGGGGAAAAAACAAAAAACAATAATGAAATACCATTAAGAATTAGAATTGCCAAAATCCAGAATACTGACAGCACCAAATGCTGATGAGGATGTGGAACAACAGGGACACTCACTCACTGCTGGTGAGAATGCAAAATGGTGGTACAGTCACTTTGGAAGACAATTTGGCAATTTCTTACAAAACTGACTTGCATATCCTTACTATAAAATCCAGCCAACACACTCCTTAGTGTTTACCCAAAGGAACTGAACACATATGTCCACCCAATAGACACTTTATCCACACTTGCCAATGAAACTACTTTGTATAATATAATAATGATGTGAATATATGTCATTATAAATTTGTCCAACCCCATCCTATATAATAAAACTCTAATATGCAAATCCACCAGTCACTATGACACACACTGACCACCAGGGGACAGATATTCAATGCAGGAGCTGCCCCCTAGTGGTCAGTGCACTCCCACAGGAGGAGTGCCACTCAGCCAGAAGCCAGGCTCACCGCTGGCAAGTGCAAGGGTGGTGGTGGGAGCGAGTGGTCCCAGACTGGGAGAGAGATGTCTGACTGCTGGCTTAGGCCTGATCCCCCTAAGCTGACAGGTGGACATCTCCCAAGGGGTCCTGGACTGTGAGAGGGTGCATGCCGGGCTGAGGGACTGCCCCAGTGCACCAGACCTTTAGGAGATTATAAAATACCAAGAGTAAATCCTAACATGAAATATGGACTCTTGGTGACAATGATGTGCCAATGTAGGTCCATCAATTTTAACAAATGTACCTACTCTGGTGGGAGATGTTGTTAATGAGGGAGGCTATGCATGTGTGGGGGCGGGGTTATATGGGAAATCTTTGTACCTTCTGTTCAATTTTGCTGTGAACTTAAAACTTGTCTAAAAAAATAAAGCATATTTTTAAAAAGTGTTTAAATATAGTATAGCTATGCTTTCAGACCAAAGTGATAGAAGTATGAAAACTAAATTAAAAAGACAGAATTATTAAACTCAAGGTCAAGTTTCAAGTTTCCTTAGAAAAAACGTTCACTAATTATGCAAAAGCTAGATAATTATGAGGATGAAATTTATACCTTAAAGGCCAATATAGACATAGAAAAAGAAAAGAAAGATACATTCATTCCAGCTTCTCTTAAAATATCTCTCAGTGGAAGGGGTGTTTAGCTGCTATTAAAATGGTGAAATTGACAGGGAACCAGAAAAAAAATTCAATAGAAGAGAAGCCAAGTGAGAAATAATTCCCGAGTTTGCCAGTATCTAAGAAAGGATTCATGGGAAGCCTCGGATACAAAAAGAGAACTTAAAGAGTATGAGCAATTCAGGAGCTACTCCATACAAGTTTGTCTGTACAAAGTAGTTGCAGAAAACCTGGTAAGCGTTCAAATAAGATCAGGAAGACCAGGAGAAAAGAAAGACAACAACAAAAACCAAAGTATTATTATTTGAGTTTCAAAGTAATACAGTCATATCGGTAGTAAAGTGAAGATATAGATATTTATTGCACCATAAAAATTTCTGGAATTAATTCTTAAGGCATGGTATAGGAAAACTGAGACATGGGACAAGAGCCAGGGAGGACAATGACAGATTACAACCAGTCCTGAGTTAAATGTTTCCGATGGCAGAATATAAAAAGAAGCACAAGATTGGATTCAGCCATGGATGCCTTTATTACACACAGAACTTTTGACATCTCTTTCCTAGCTAACTGAAAATATAAAACAAAATGTCGAGAACTATATTAGAAGGCTATGGTGCTAGAAACTGATTCTTCTGGAAAGTATTATACAAATAATAGAGTTAAATGGAAAAATCTATCCTACCACTCCAGGAAAAAAAAAAAATAGCAGAAAGAAATGTTGACCCATATGTAGTATGTTCAAAATTTGTGGATAGCCAGTGTCTTAAGTAATGGGCTCTGGTGGTGTGGGTCTTTGCTAGTTTCTAAGAATAGCTGAGGAACATGGAGAGAGGATGAACTTTCAATTGGAGGACCAATAGAAATGTGATGAATGGAAATACTTCCTTAAGACAGATTTTATGTGAGGAGGTCTCTTTCTTGCCAGCACACAGGAATCACCTGGAAAGCATTTGAAATCAGTGCTATCACAAACATCACTCCAGGGTTATGATTTAATTAATTTGGGATAGGATCTACTCATCAGTGTTTTTCTTAAAAGCTCTCCAGATAATACTAATGTGCAGCGACAACTGATAACTACTGTTTTATAGGCCTAAGCAAGTGATTCTTAGCCCAGGATGTACATTAGAATCTCTTGAAAAGCTTCTAAAATATTCCACCAAAAGCCAGGCGGTGGGTTATTTCTGAGCAGCTTCCCCAGTGATTCTAAATCACAGCCTGACTTGAGAAACAAGGACTCAGGTAGTCACAACAAGAAGTGTTGGTGATAGTCACTGCTCACGGGCTCAAAAATGCCTATTCACAAAACCCTATGCCCATGCTCAGTTGAATACAGTGATACCAGAAACACAGGCTCAAATATGAAATGGAAATTCAAAGTTTTTAAATATTCAAGAAAGATGTCTCAATTAAGACCTAGGTGATTGAAGGTGCCAAGATGGTAAAGTTCTAACCATTTGGAGAAATTTTGAATGCCCCAAATGCCATTCTTTGAGAGAAGAGACAGTTTTTATTATTAGATTTCTACCTAAATAGAGTAAATTTTTAATGATCAAGAGGTTATTTTAAATGCTGTGCTTTTTATTTATTTCCTGATTGTTTGTTACTAGTATTATAAATATAATTACTTTTTATATAATGGCTTTGAATTCAGAGAGCATGTTAAATACATCTATTCATTTTAAAGGTTCAAAATCCCATCTATGAAATGCATATTCTGCTCTTTTGGATGGAAGTTATAAATGTTAATTATATCAAGCTGATTTATAGTGCTGCTAAGGTAAACTATATCCTTACTGATTTTCTGCCTGCTTTATCTAGTATTTATTGATAGGGAAGTGTTGAAGTCTCTACCTATAATATGGTTTGTCTATTTCTACTTGTAATTCTTTCAGTTTTTGCCTCACATATTTTGTCATTATGTTGTTAGGTACATACAGGTTAAAGACTTGTATGTCTTCTTAGGCAATTGACTGCATTAACATTATCTAATGCCCCTCTTTATCCCTGATAATTTTCCTTGTCTGAAGTCTGTTTTGTCTAAAGTTAATATATAACTACTCTAGCTTCCTTTAAAATAGTGTTAACATAATATATCTTTTATCTTATCCAATTTTTATATATACAGTAGTTACTTATAGATAACATATAGTGGTATTTCCTCCACCCCACCCAGACAACCTCTATTTTTATTGGTATTTTTAGCTCATTGATATACAACATAGTTATTGATATCTTTGGATTATTATCTATTATGTTTGTAACTGTTTTCTATTTATTGTTCTTAATATCTTTAGGTTTTTGTTTTTTTCTCTTTCTGCATCTCCTAGTTTTAAATAAGCATTTTATGCAATTAGTCTCTCTTCTTTCTTAGTTATTTAAATACACTTTAAACATTGTTTTTAGTAGTTGTTTCAGACTTTGCAATATACATTTATGACTAAATTATACTCCTTTTTCCTTTCATTTCATGGTGGGGTATTTTTTTTACTTGTTTCCAAGCGCATAGGATCTCTCCTTAGCCGTGTCCAATCTTCTGATGAAATCATAACAGTCATCAGGAATCCTTCATTTCTATTACTGTATTTTTATTTCTAGCATTATTGTGATTTTTTCTTAGAGTTTATACCTCTCTGCTTACATTTTCCATCTCTTCTTGCAATTTCTCTGCTTTTTCCTTAACATGTGTAACCTCACGATATTTATTAAGGTTAGTCCATTAACCTTAACATAGAGTTTTTAACATATTAATTATAGTTATTTTGAATTCCCAGTCGGATGTATTCAAGATCTGTGCCATAGCTGAGTTTGGTACCAATGTCTGTCTGTCTCTTTAGACTATTTTTTCTTATTTTTCAAAATGTCTTTTAAAATTCTGTTAAAATCTGGATATGATATGTCAGGTAGTAGAAATTTGGTAAAAGTTCTTTATTGTGAAACTTTATGTGTATCAGAACAGCTAGGTTTCATTCATATTTGCTCTAGCTGTAAGTGATCATGAGTTTACAATGCCCAATGTCCTTGTTTTTGTCTCCCATTCTGTCTTTGTGTTTCCCTATTCCTTTAATAGTACCTGTACTTTGCAATTCACTAAACTCTAATCCCCTGATAATATACTGTGATAATGTCAATGTGGTGATAAAGTATAGGAGAAGGGATGCATTTTCTCATCTTATTTTTATACTAGAAGCCCAGTGTATGAAAACTCATGCACTGAAGTGGGGGTCCCTCAGCTTGGCCTGCCTCCTCTAACAGTCCTGGAGCCCTCAGAGGTGGGAGACGATCCAGTGATCAGGAGAAGGCAATGCCTCATTACACCTCTGCTGCTGCTACTGCCGGAAGTGCAAGCCTCAGCCAGCCCTGGTTTCCTGAGCCTTGGGCAGCCACCATCCAAGGATTGCCTGAGCCTTGAGCAGGTCCTGGGCTGCTAGTGGGCTGAGGGGACTAAGCACCACCATGTTGTGGCTGTGGGCACCACCATATTTGAGGTGTGGAAGTCAATTAGCATATTCCCTCTTTATTAGATAGGATCTGCCTTTTATCTGCTTATGTCCCTGGCCTTGACAAGTGTTTCTTAGCTCCACCATGCTACGAAAGTCTAAGGAAAGCTAGAACTTAATAAATACTCTTCCATGTAATTAAAGTAAGATCAGGTAACTTTTTTTTTTTTTCTGGATTAAGCCTTCATTATGGAGCACTTTAGGTATATTTCAAAATAATTACATTTCCCATCCTCTTGCTGGAGCCACTAGGAGATTTTTCTTGGCTCTTGACAAAGAGAACCTTGTGAGGCTCCTGGAGGTAAAACCTATAAAACTATGAGGTACTCCTACCCCTAAAGTACACTTTTATGCTTCCATTGTCATGTTTCCGCTCCACCAATGCACCAAAGTTGCCATTTAAGTATTCCTATAAGCTTATGTCTCCTGCAACATCTCCAGATCTTAAAAGCAGATCTTGGCTGCAATTTTTTTTGTCTTCTGTTGTTGCTTCATATTTAAGTATGGCAGTATGCCCTGTCATCCCTTAGTATGTCAGATCTTAAACTGGAAATATTTAATTAACCTTTCAGAAGAGGACTTATTTTTGCTTCAAAAGTAGGTGAATGTTACAAAACCCAAGTAGAAAATAACATATTTAAAGACTAGACACCAATCGCAGTAAAGGATAGTTTACTTAAGTTCACACTTATTCTTAACATAGATCATTCTAAGAAGTCCCAAAAATATTTGTATGTTTGTAATTTCCCTTCATCCCTGAATTTGAAATTGGAGGATCTTAAACTTCAGTTTTTGTCAAACTATACAGAATTTGCTGGAAGCTCTGTTTAACTTTTCACCCTGTCACCTTAACTTTTACTTTATTGTCAACCTCTTAAACAAAAACATGGCATTAAATGGCAGGTCTACTTCTCTTGATTTTTCTCCTCTTTCTTATTTTTGCTCAGCAGATTTTTATTGCTTACCAATAGGTAAGCTTCTTTGAGCCCTCTTTTCAACTTGGCTTCTTTCTTCCTCAATCTACCTTAGTCAGTTTTAGCAAAGAGTCTTTCCAAGTCAATCCCCAACCCTTGATATCTAATAATTGTTGACATCTGAACAAGTTCCTCACTTCCACCTTTGATGTCATTGGCCTACTTTTTACAAAAATCCTATTAGGCCAGTTTAGCAAGAATCCTCCAATCCTTGATATTTCCTCTTAGTAATTTTTCTCCCACTGACCCTCTCAGTCTATTCTGTTTATAATACTCTGATTATAATTCCCACTTGTCTTTGTTGTATTTGAAGTTGACTACAATCTCTCATCTATGTTGCAATGATTTTTAACCTCTGAAATAGTCTTGAAAAAAGTCTTCATTACCTTTTTAAACAAGAAGTGTCAGAATAATTTTTCTTTAACACAGTCAGTTTTCTAACACATTCAAATAGATTTTTAAAAATATATTCTGTCCAGGTTTGAAAAATACTGAATGTGGGAGTTGGGTTCAAAGCAATCTAAACATTCATTTCTCAAGAACAATTATTTTTTAGGGCATATTATAGTACTAAATATTGAACAATGTTACATAAAGTATCTTCTTAGATAATAGCCTTATAAGAATATCACGTTTACTGAATAGATGAAAAAAGTAGAAGATTAAAATGTATTTGTATTTTTTCTTGGTTTCATAATATTAAAGAATGCGTGGCTAATTTTAACCCCAGATTGATTTGCTTGCAAAGATAATTCTTCTCAGCACTGCTTTTCACAACCCTCCCAAGCATCTTGACTTGATGAAATCACTGGTATAAGTTTGTACATTATGGTTTCACTGTAGACTTTATATTTCATCACACTAATCCTAGAAGAGTTTGGTTCTAATTGATGTTTGCACATTATTTACTTAGGCTTTTTTTTTTTAATTATGACAAAATGTATATAGACCTGTGTTCCAAGCACAGATTGAAACCTTAAAATATTATTTTTAAATCCTTATAAACATTTAAAGTATATCCTGCCAGTATTTCTATCATACCCGTGAGAAAATAGAGTTTAAGAGAGTCAAGTAATATTACAAAGATTCATATTCTGTGTGCAAGAACTAGGATTTGAGCCCATTATTTTACCTTGGAGTTTATGCACTTAACTTCAATATTAATATTACTTTTTTTGATAGGTAGTTCTGTTGAACTTTTATTTTAACAGATTAATGATATGGTCATGTTTTCCCCACTTATAAATTCAAATATTCATTTCAATTTCTTTCCTCAATGATATATAAGTTATTATAATCATAGATAATCTATTCATCCAAATAAATAAAGTTAAGAAAATGCATTTTGCTACATTATATACTTAGTGCTAAAGATCAGCTAAGAAGTTCTATTTCTGTACCATTGTCACCCTCCTCCCACCCTCAGCATTAATTATATCCTTTTCTTGGAATGACATCACTGATACATGTTAGTTCCACATTTGACAGCTGTCAGCATATCCTGGAAAATTCCAACATTTCCTTCAGTTCCACTGTTTAAAATATGCAGTACTTCACATTTATATTATATTGCATATAATTCCTTTCCAGTTGGGGATAGTCACCTCTTTAAGAAGAGAATATATATTGTTATAAAGGGAAATATATATCCTTGAACTTAAAAAACTCATAAAAAGAAGTCATAACACTTTGGCAATTAAATTATGTTTGGTGGTTAAAATACATAATTATCAATTTCCAGGCCATCTAAATATTTTAAACTGTTTTTCATATATGGGCATAATGATTTTTAAATGTGTATTTAAAAGTTT